GCACACACACACACACACACACACACACACACACACACACACACACACACACACACACACCGTGAATACACCCAGAGCAGTGGGCAGTCATTTATGCTGCAGCGCCCGGGGAGCAGTCGGGGGTTCGGTGCCTTGCTCAAGGGCGCCTCAGTTGTGGTATTGAAGGTGGAAGAGAGTGCTGTACATTCACTCCCCCCACCTACAATCCCTGCCGGTACGAGACTCGAACCCGCAACCTTTGGGTTACGAGTCCGACTCTCTAACCATTAGCCCACGACTTCCCTTATGCACAATTATTACAACAATTCATTGATGTTCAAGCAGGCAACATACTACATTAAGAAAACTTTTGATCTGATGATCTGTGTAAATAGTTATTTTGTCTTTTGAGAAATATGTAAATAATTTACTGTTGCAAAAGTTATACTTGACAAACAAGTCTAACTCTTGCAACACTTATATAACTCCTGAAGGGCAGTAGAGGTTTACATATATGCCAGTAATTATAAAATGCAAAATACTGGCCAATATACCAGCCACGGCAATACTGTATATTGGTTAACTACTAATTTGTACTGTATTGTACTTCTTGTGTCAAACATTCTGAATCTATTTAGCATTGATTCCACTCATCAGAAAAACAAAATTATATTCTTAAGTAATTTTAGAAAAAATACACAAGATATCAATATATTATTTGCTTTAGCTATGTCTTGTTTGACTGATATAATTTGTTTCAAAGAATGACACGTTCTGAGATTCTCTGATGCCTGAATACAAGAGGCTTGCCTCAGATTCTTGCGCAGGGAGGCTGGGTCATTAGCCAGTAGAGTGTTCACTAAGCCAAAAAGCTGCATAACCCTCTCGTCTTGCCGTAGATCCTCATGACCCTTCAGCAAGAACATGAATTCATGACCGTTGCTACCTGCAGGACGCAGAACAGAACAGAGAAAGCTTTGTCTCACCATACCAACTGTCATACATGCATTCACAATTACAACCAAGATTACAACATGTGTTTGTATGGAAAAAAGACAATAAAATGAAATCCTGCACTCATAAAAACAACCTTTTTCACAAACTAGAACAGAATTGCCTACACCAGGACCTGTGGACCCCATTCCATGTATCACAAGATGGGGAAAAAACAACAACAACAAAACATGGTACATCCTCATTTTTAAATCTTTTTTTGTGTTTGTGTCTGTTGTTCATTTTTCATTGCCCCTAGTATTTATGACAGCCTATGCGAAACAGCTCATTTTCACTTGGCTCTTACCCATGATGGTGAGTTTGCGCGGCCGCTGTTTGGAGGTGATGACCTGCAATGAGGGAGCAATAGACTGAATACGTATGATTGGCTGATTGGGGTCATATGTTCCGGGCACGGCCAACTCCAGATCACGACACATAAGTAGTTTAGGTGAGACGTACTGAAGCTCTAGTGAAGTGAGCTGTGGACAAAGAAATATGCATGATACATAATTTTATGAAACATCACTGAATTATATCCTGACAGAAGTAAGTGGTTATTTTTAAAAGTGCACACAGTTTCACAGCTGATATCGTATCAACACTGTCAGATATTTATAACAACAAAATATAATCTGGTAATATACATCAGTCTTCATCCTGAAAATATTCTTTCCATAATTTACCTGCTATGAGTTTAACCCGCCACTCATGTGAGTTTGATTGCTTTTACCATTGTAAAAATGTGCTCATATTCTCTGTTCCCAATCTCAAATGAAAGTGAAATTTAGAACTGTTAAATTTTAAAAACAATATTACAATTTAGGACATCATGATTTATGATATTGCTGCAGGCTGATGTAAGAAATCTAATGACTATTCTGAGCAAGAAACGCTACTGGCAGACCTGTGGCAGCTGTTTGGAGATCCTGCGGAACACGTGGTAGTACAGGTCCCAGGCCTGCGTCAGGTCCTTCACGTTACCTGATCGCATGTACTTTCTGCACCAGTCCTGCGCCTCCATCAGGTCTCGGCCATAAGCCTGAAACCACAGCCACAGTTATAAAAAGGAAAGTTAGCTCAAGTCACCATTATTTATATACCGTTTTATACAAAAGAGATTGTTTCAAAGCAGTTTCACAGGAAAATAACACAGAACCAGTAACTTTTCATCAAATATAAGGCAAATTCAAATTCTGCTGTGAAGCAGTTCTAACAAGACAATAGTGTCATACAGCTCCAGTCAGTTCAGTACTGATTTAGTTCAGTTCAATAAGTGTCAATGTTGCAAAATTGGTCAATTATGAACAAATCAGATTAAGCTATAAAGCACCTTTATCAAAGATCTTAGTGTCATTATTGAGCTCAATTTAGCTCAGATTGATCCATATTTGTAGATTAATGTTATTCAATAAAACTTTGCATTCATCTGCTTGAGGATCAGGATACGTCACACCCGCATTAGGTGAGAAGGAAGAGTTGTAATCTGTCTAGTGTCTGAAACATGATTATTTTCAAACAGCTATAAGCATTATGAACGTTTCGGAAAGTGATGCAGGTTGACACACAGACCAATCATTATCCACTTCTATATTTATTGTGTGCAAAACCATGGATTGCAAAATTTGCCGTTTAAGAAAAACTTTCATAATCATTTGTTCTAAAAATGGCACTGGTGTGGATTTAAAATATCAAGTATTTCTACATTTAATATTAATACCACATTCAACATTCTTGAGGATTACCAAAAAACTTTTAGATCCATTTTACTTCAATGAACAAATTATCATTTAACCTTCATTACTGAAATAAAAAAATAAGGCTTTTAGTAACTAAATCCACTTCATTTCACTAATTACTCTTTTAACAGCGATGCTATAGAAATAAACAAAGCTACCACAAAAATGGAAGTGCAAACACCAAATTCTAAAGATGGTCACGCGCTTGTTTCTCCAATGCAAAAGGTCTATACTGGAGATGTTTACACATCCTGAGTAGCCTATAAAAGACTGATGAGCTGTTTGTCACTTTAGATGTCCCTGACAAGGGCCGGAGTGAGGCCTGTTTTCAGCCCAGGAGTTCAATGCACAAGACCATCCCCTCATTTGTTTTAACAAGAATAAACAGGTAAATGCATAATAAACTTTCACATACAAACATTCTGCAATCACATAGGCACAGCTGAAAAAAACTGCACACACAAATTAAAAAAAAAAATCAAATAAATTATAATGAAACCCAGGCAGCAAGTATGGGTTATGCTTGTTCTATGAAATATTACATTATTTCTAAAAATCTTGTCTTGATGACTTTTTTTTTATTGCCACAGGTGCGGGCAGAGATTGCGGTAAACATTTTTTGGAGGGTTTAAACATTCTGAAAGTATTTTTCTTTAAAAAAAACACTGATGGATAATTAAAAATGATTTCCTGTGTTTGTCACAATGTGCTCTCTCTGACAAGTGACATGAGAAAATGACCCTTTTTAATGCATACCATGTAAAGATGTGGATTAATTAGTTTAGTTATAGTCACGCAATAATGTAACACACATGCTTTTTCTGTGTGTGTGTGTGTGTGTGTGTGAAGTATAGAGAGAAACCAGGGGAGAAATGGGGGATTAATATATGTCATATAATAATATTTATTATATATACACACCTGCCACGAAGAGCTGTGCGATCGCAAGCAGTGGGGTTTTGGATGTGTGCTCGTACACCCTGCTGCTTGCGTGTACTGTACACAGCTCTTCGCTGCTACTAAAAAAAATATCTGCAATTTGACACTTTCCGTGTGTCTCTCACAGAAAATGAACTAGACACTTGCGCGTTCCGCATTCCGTGTGAAACCGCCTTTATGTCAAAGTAGTACTGCTGGCCCAATTTATGAGCAGCCCACTGTGAAATTTTCCCAATTCTACTGATGGCCACTCCGGGCCTGACCTCGACCCTTAGAGCAGAGCTAATGACAAGAAGCCCAGAGCTAATAACACCTTTGACTGAAACCGTGGTTACTCTATTTTATACTTTAATGGTTTTATTTGCATTTACATTTTTAATGAATACAGTGCTGTGAAAAGGTTTTTGCCCCCTTCCTGTTTTTTTAATTTTTTGCATATTTGTCACCCTTAAAAGATTCAGATCATCAAACAAATTTTAATATTACACAAAGATAATGCAAGTAAATACAAAATGCAGTTTTTAAATGATTATTTATTTTATTAAGGGAAAAAAGCTATCCAAACCTGCCTGGCCCTACGTGAAAAAGTAATTGCCCCCTAAATCTAATAACTGGTTGTGCCATGCTTTGCAGCAACAACTGCAATCAAGCGTTTGCGATAACTGGCAATGAGTCTTTCACATCGCTGTGGAGGAATTTTGGCCCACTCTTCTTTGCAGAATTGTTTTAATTCAGCCACACTGGAGGGTTTTCGAGCATGAATGGAATGTTTAAGCATCTCAATCGGATTTAAGGGGCCAACACTTTTTCACACCACTGTATATAAAAATCTAATCAATTAAAAGAAAGGTCAAACTAATTACAAAATTGCCTACTGAGGCTTTTAATTTTAGTGTTTTAAGACCTTAAGCAAGAACAATACTACAGGCTACAGAATCTTCTGACCAAGTAGTATGTAATTTGAAATGCTTGTAGACCAGAATAATAAAAAAAGCTGTTAAAATGTGTAATTTAGTGCAATGTAACACTCTGATTACATATTTTAGGACAATGCATAATAAATAAAAATATATTAACTATAAAACATTCCATGATTTATCCATGACTTTGAAGATTTTATTAATTTCAATGACTTTCCTTGGAGATAAGAATTTTACAATTCCCTGATTTTCCATGAACATCTAGTGTTTTTTTTTTCTTTTAATAATAGGCAATGAAAACATATTTTGTGAGAAAATGGACATTTATGAACATTAAATGTTCATTAATGCAAAGTCAAAAAGTCTAAATAATTCTTGGTATATAGCGATATATATATATTTTGGTAGCCTGTTTTGTTCATATTCTTAAGAATCATTAAGCAATTAGATGAAAATTGCAGTGAGCTACTATATTTTTCAGGCATTTGGTAAAACAGGCAATCTATATAGTTAATGTTACATAAGTACATTCTGAATAATCATAATGAACTACACTGTATTTACAGTGTGTTCATTTTGTATAGTCACTTTTGGAACATCTTCATTGCTATTATGACATGTAATATGCGTAACATGAACACTGTAAAATGAAATATTACGTGATATGCACACACAATATATATAAGAAGCCATGTGTTATTTCTCTACTCTCTTATGTTTTTTGACATCTTTATTCAGTGTTAACCTTCAATGTACAATGCACTTTCCTGAGAAAACTAAAGAAAAAAATATCAGAAGATCCTCAAAACATAGGGTTACAAACTTACCTGATTGAAGGATGTTTCTTTCAGAGTTTGCGGCCCTCTCTCCATCATGGCATGAAGGGGCTCCAGGACGGCAAACATTCCCTTGACATTCCTCTCTCCAAAGTACAGACGTGACGCCTCCTCCAGCCCCTCGTGCCACATTTCATGCCACAGAATAGCCACCCTGATCAGCTCCTCACTTACCTAAACACAGACAGAAACAGTGATATATATGGGCCATATGTTGCTTCTACTTGGATTCATTTCTCTTTTGGATCATAATTGACCCTTGGCTAAACCCTGCCTTAAAAACATCACTTATCAATGCTGCTACTGTACCTTAGTGACTGGTAGCTGTCACTGTCACTATGTTATCAGACCAGCTTTTGCTCCTTTCGGGTGTTTTTGTATTTCCATTAAGTCTCATCCTCGGAAGGATCTGTGTGTTTAGTTAAAGGGGTCATATGATGCTGCTAAAAAGAACATTATTTTGTGTATTTGGTGTAATGAAATGTGTTTATGCGGTTTAAAGTTTAAAAAACGCATTATTTTCCACATACTGTACATTATTGTTTCTCCTCTATGCCCTGCCTTTCTGAAACGCGTCGATTTTTACAAAGCTCATCGGTCTGAAAAAGCGAGGTGTGCTCTGAGCACCAAGAGCTTGTAACACTCCAAAGAGAAAGTAAAAAATGAAATTGCATCATATGACCCCTTTAAAGGTCATGGGACTGAAATGTTGCTTAAATTTTGACAGTTTTTTGCAAGTTGGAATAGTGTGCAAAACTTTTTTTCCTAAAGAAGTTACGGTAACACTTTCTACGAAGCCCGTATTTATAATACATTATAAGGGCCCTTTCACACCAAGAATGATAACTGTAAAGATAACTATATTAACGTCCACACCAGCGGACGATATCGTCTGTTTATTCTAAGCGCACACTCGTCTGCCACTTTAAATTCTCGAGGTCGTTATAGCATCTTTATAGTTACAGTATCGTCCATGCTGTGAACAGGTCTTAAGAGTATTGCATAACATATTATAAAAAACCTTATACGGTGGTGTGAAAAAGTGTTGGCCCCCTTCCTGATTTCTTATTTTTTTGCATGTTTGTCACACTTTAATGTTTCAG